TTGGTTGTTTAAATTCCTCTTGATTCCCAAATTTATTCCAGCAAGCTAAAAAAGTGAAAAAATTCTGTAGGAAAATTACCTATTTAGATTGCAAAAGGTTTTATGAGGTTCATCGAATCTGCTCTACCTCTAGTAAAGTCAGTGGTAAAACCTTCCTCACCTTCAGCAGAACAAGATCAAGTCCTTGCTCTGTGTTGCATTATGCTTAGGTAGTCTTTTTTACAGTGATTTCACGTGTCTGCCCATCCTGACTACTACAATTCCACCTTTTCAGCCACAGCAGGATGGAAATAAAAATCTTGAAAAATATATTTTCTTTTCAAGTGTTGTGTTCTTTCAGAGCCAAGCTGGGAATGCCACAGTTCTTGAGCATAGAAGCCCAGAGCCTGCTTCGAGCCCTCTTCAAAAGGAACCCTTCCAACAGATTAGGTATGTATGTGCATTTGATCGGGGCATTTGTTATGTGCACTCTGCCTCGTCAGGTAGTGATCATTTCTCTCAGCACATCTTTTCTGATAGTTATCCTCTTCATTCTGTTGCATTTTCATTCCTTCCCAGAGAACAATGAACCTTGAGCATTGCTAGAGAAATTTGCAAAGAGCACAGGCAAAGCACTGGAATTTAAAACATGATATTAATTTTTATTTCATTTTTTTGGTAAAGAGGGAGAATAAACTGCCAGCTTTTTTTTGGAGGATTTAAGATAACTGCTGAATATGATACTATAGGGAACTGAGAAACAAGTGTGTTTTAAAAATCTGTATCATTTAGCTGCAAATCTGAGGTTTCATCTTTGCTATTCTCAAATGTGTTTCAATCCTGTTACATTCTGTGAGCTGGGAGCATTCTCACAGTAGGCTTTCATCTGTATTATCCTAAATGTATCATGGCCTTTTTACTAATGTCTCTTCACCCTTTATTAATAATCCTATTTAAATTGTGATAAACGAGAAGTATGTATTGGATAATGTATCTTATGTCTGTACACTTGTTTAAGAGTTTTATTAAGAAATTAATTGCATTTGATGAGGTCATGGACAATGCCTGTTGCATGACTTTCATTGCAAATTTTGTCCTTGCTCCACACAGGGATGAGTTGACAACCTGGCCAAGCACAGTGCTGGGTGGGAACGGGGAGGCAGTCCTTCAGCATGCTGCTGTGGCCCCTCTCCTCCTGAGGGGATGGCACATGGCCTGCAGAGGGAATGTGCCCAAGAGGTTTTACCTCTTGACCTAAATGGTAGCTCTTGCAGTCTGATATGCTGTAGACATGAGAGTGGAAAAACGCATTTTCTCAGCAGGTTTCAATTGCTCTCAAGTAATTTGTTTGACATTAGGAAAAAAATAGAGTATTGGGATTTCTGGGTTTAATCTCTGTTCAGAAAAATAAGGTGCTGCAGCAAATATAAACTTTTTCCCACTCCCTACCTCTGTTCCTTTCTGCTATTTCCTCCCTGTCTCCATCTCTTGGTTTTGTTCTGCTCTGCTCATTTTGTGGCTTCCCACAATTTGCTATCCATCCAAAATGGGGCTCCAGTGAAGTCAGCAGGAGTTTCTGGATACCAGTCCTTTAATAAAAAGCTACTTACTAAAATAATCAAAGTTGCTCAGTTTTAGCCATAACAATTCTAGCTCCTATATCATCTCCCTGTTAATAATGGGGAATTGCTAGGGGTCAAGGTTTTAAAATCCAAGGTTCATTGAAATACAGGGAAGGCTTGGAGAAAGAAAGAAAATATTTATAACACAACATCCAAGGAAATAAAATCTCAAAGAGTAACAGAAAAATAGATCTTTACATTTCAGGGATAGTGGTGGAAAGCTCCTGAGGGCACTCTCTGTTTTCACTGGTTGAGAATGAGCATAAAGGACAATGGAAACAGACCTGTTGATGATAAAAGAAGGAAAGCTTAAATGATTGGCCTAAATACTGAACAGAAATCAGTAGATAAAGGACTACTTCCACTTTGTGGATTTTAGCTTTTTCTGGGAAAGGAATAATAGTAAAAGAAATGTAGGCTTAGACCTCCTGTTTTGAAAAATCTTTGGAAAATTAATGAAGTATGCTAAAATAAACGAACCATATTATGGATCAAACACTTGTTTTCAGCCATTGCTACAGAAGTTTAGGAATCTGGAAAGTGTATTTAGTTCCAAAATCCAATTTTTAGCATCGACAAGATGAAAAATGCTAAGCTTCAAAAATAATTTTATTCTTGCTGCCATTTTGCCATTTGACTTTGGTATCTTAACAAATGGAAGTAAAGATGGATGATGTATTCTGAAATTTTGCTTTGAAACTTCATTTTGGATTATTAATGGAAAAAATATTAGAGTTGAAGCAAGATAGACAAGACAGAGGAGGAATTTAGTAATCCAGTTTACCTAGTTTTAAGTCTGGTGCCCATATTAATGCTTATGACAAATTTTTAAGGAATGTAAAGTCTTCCTTTGGTATCCCTTGTTTTGGACACTGTTTTTCTTTTCTGAGCCTATAAACTTTGCTGTACAAATAGTCTGTATAGCCCTGCTTTGATAGTACTGCTCTAAGTACAACAAATTTCAGATTATGGATAACCATAATTTTAAATCTTAAAAGAAGCTAACAGGAATACCCAGGCAAACAAGGAGTAGGCATCTCAGTGGTGAAGATGTTAGTTCATTACACTGCCAGGAACTTAGGCAAGGGACTTATTCTAAGCCTGGATCTTCTCAGGTAGGTAAATAAATGTAAAAGCATTTAAAGAACTTCCTAAGCTGCTGAGAAGTATAAGGGGTTCAGAGTCCTTATAGCTGAGAAGCTTGGCCAAGAAAGTTTGAAATAAAAGCATATGCCAGTTGGTTCAGAGTAAAAGCCAAGGAAGTAGTTATTATTTTCTTGATCCCATGTTCTCAGAGAAGATACATTCTGCTTTAGCACATAGAAAACCTTGGCTTTTAACTTTATACGATGATGAGTTTAAACAAAAACCAACTTTCACCTTTGTCAGAGTGACTGTACACTCTCTTGTAAACCTTAGAAAAGTATTTCAAAAAATGTAGCCCACTAAAACCATTCTGAAGCTGTGGAGACACTAAAATTTTACTACCTGAAACTAAAAATCTGGAAACTCTTTCTGATGATTTTGGATATCCAGATAATCAACTTTCAAATTTCATAGGTCTCGCTTTCTCCCCTTTACATATTTCAAGGCTCATGTTGTCCATAATGATTCAACAATCAAAACCAATTAAAAAAAAATTCTACTCTTACTATTTGCAGGTGCTTTTATTACAGGCATGAAAAAAATCTTAGATAACCAAGTTCTTGCTTATTAATGTGAAGCTGCTTTTATATAAATCCTTGCACTCTATAATATGTTTAAATTGGCAAGTTGATCTGAAAGAATTACTTATCTTCTCGAACCCTCATGGGCTTGCATGGCATGTAAGAGTATTTGCAGGCAGTAGGTTTGATTGTGCTGATTATTCTTTACTGATAGGTTTTATTACTACATTGAAGTTCAAAAACCCAAAACCACCAAAAACCTAACGGAGGGTGAAAGGTTTGCAGTTATGCAGTGTGCCATCCCATGCTGCGCTTCAGACATTTGCTAAATAGCCATCTCTATGCCAAGAAATGTCCATCTCCATGAAACAGGACTTTCCAGTCATGACCTCTCTGGTGCTTCTCTTTTCTCCAAGAAAGCACATCTCTTTTCACTACCACTTTAGATTTGCAGATGGTAGATGAATGGCTGAAACATGCTGAGCAAATCCAGAGAGACTCCACCAAAAGCATTGATACTTAATGTCTCCCATGGACTTTTGCAGCAGGGTCAGGGTAGCCCCTTCGGGCTTCCAGAGATGTCCCTGAACATACCCTTGGGTCACTTCCATCCTCCATTTGAGGCAAGAACCAGACCACACACTGCTGCCTGCAGCCACATAACGCAAGAAGGACTCGTGGGCTATGCGGGCAGATCTCATGGTGGGGAAAAACTGCAAGAAGTGATGAACCTTCCCCACAGTGTAAAATTAGTTGCTAGGAATTGGAAGTCCTTCACTCTTTACAAAATTAAGCTATTATCATCCTAAATCTCTTTAGTATACTAAGTTAAACAGAAATGGAGTCAAGTCTTTACACGTAACAATGTATTCCTTCTGAGCCAGAACTCTGAAGTGGCCCCAAGTGGGAAATGCCAATTTTTCAAACAAATGCTTGTCTCAACTGCATGCTGTATTCCTTACTGCACATTGCAGCCTCCCACTAAGAGAAGTAGCTATGGGTGGGCTTTTGTCTTGCTCCTAATTTCTGTGGTTTTGTGGAAAAAGGAACAACAACAGTAGGAAAAAGTGTAGCTTTCAAATAGGTCATCTGAAAAAAGCATGTCATTCCCATCACACAATGTGTGCATTAGCCTAAACAAGAGGAAAAAGATAAAACAGTGGGGAAGGGACAGAGGAGAGAAAATTGAATGCATTAGCAGTTATCCTCAGTCTAGGATGTGCTAACAGTGTCTTAGTGTCTGATCATTTATCCCAGTCCTTCAAAATCAGTTTGGCACTTGGGTTTCATCTTTGCATGGTTAAGAACACCAACTGCACATTGCAAAGTTTCCAGTTACCTCCACTGAATGCAAAACATTTTTCACAGATACTTCTTCTCTGAAGAGTTGCTTAATGTAATTCTCTTCCAAGTAACTGTCAGTTTCATGTTTCTGTTGGCATTGCTGAAATCAGAATGAATCTGCCGAGGGAATCTAGTGTAGACTTTAGACTTTGCATTGAAAAAAACATGCTAGGAAGTCATAGAAGTCTTAGACTAAGACTCAGTATTTTCTGGTTCAGTACCCATAAACAGCTGCGTAGGGACAAGTAAGAGTAGGGTAAACATGTGTTACTTCACCCAAATTTTCTCCCACCCTACTGCTGCTTTAAGGAGTTTCCTGAACCTCTTGTGGTTTGTTGAAGCAATCTTCAACAGATTTCTTTTCAACACACTTCCTGGCCTACCCATCAACCCATATAAATATTTTGAACTGCATCATCTTTTCCAAGTAATTCCACATCACACAGCTGTCTGTTTCCTGACAAAGCATCTTCAGGTTCTTCTGAACCTGATTCCTGCTAGCATCATTTAATAACCTGTTGTAAACCTCCTTGGTCACCTGTTTCCAGATAGAAAATTCCTGACGTATTCAATCATTCCTTACCATTCCTTGTTAACTTTCTTTGATTATTCCTCTTTTTCGTAAGTATACCCTCTTATAGGTGAGTGTGTCAACATCCGTAGTACAGTTGTAGGTGTACAACAGATATACACAGTGACAATGCAGTGATATTCTCTCTTTTGTTCTCTGTTCTCTTTCTAAGATTTGATTTCATGCTGTCTTTGCGTAAAACTAACTGTCTGCCATAACCCACAGACCTCAGTGGGGCTGATCACCTCTGAGCACGTAATTTTGTGTGGTGGGCTAGGATTGTTTATCCTCATGTACATTGCTTACATTTGTCTATACTGAAAGATTACCAGGAAGTAATCAGATCATCTCTCTTCCATTATTATCCAGCAGGCCTGCAGACAATCCTGCGTGTTATGTTTGCTTTCTGTATCCATTCATCAGTGACTGTTAAGCAAGGCTGTAGGAAGCCATTCCAGATCATTGCGTTTTGGCAAACACTGATAATGTCTTGTACACAAGGAGAGCAGACATCACATTTACAAAAGCTTCAGTTGACAAGACCTTTGTAAAGCTGCTTGTAATGTTGATCTTCTGAAAGTACAAATACTGCGGATAAAAGGCTGAATCATCTGAGGTGTTGAGTGCCCCTTGCAAGGTGCTTATGAATCCCAGGTCCTTTTGGGATTCAAGGATGCTCAGAATGCTTGTAAAGAAGTATGCTGGGTACCTTTCAGGGACTGATTTCAAAATTGCAGTGCAAAGACTTTACTTCCAGGTGTTAATTCTCCTTGAAATGAAAATCAAGGGTGCTATTAATAAAGTCAAATCAACTCCATAAATGGCATTCTAAATCATCTCTGACAGTTGTTTAATTATTACTGAGCACCTCTTGGATTTTCTGATGGCACTAAAGCAAATAAATTGAGGTAAAGGAATAAAAAAAGGCAATCTTCAGTGAAGACATAAGGCAAAAGTAATGAAGAAATTAGGTTTCTTACCCAATCTCAGAGGACTTTCCCTCCAATTCCTATAGTAATGTAACAGAAATTTAATACTGAAGGAAACATAACACTGAGAGTGATGATTTTGGTACTCAGAGGAATTTGAAGACAATATTTGAAAAGGGGGAACCTAAAACCGTGGCTTATGTCAAATCATTTGGAGCCTTTTGGTATTTTGAATCTGTACTTATTTGTAGTGCAGCTTTCTTTGCCTGTGAAGAACGGGTAGCTAGTCAAGATCTGAAAGTCGGTGCACATAGAAGAGCTGCTGCTGGTGGCAGGGAGCAGCTGTAGCCTTGCCAGAGTATGAGGATGTCTTGAGGCCTCTCCTGACCTCGCTGGTGCATGTGCTCTGCTGTGCCTAAAATCCCGTGTCTCATTCAAAGCTTGAATGTGCAGCTATTCAGCCTTGACAGCATCCTCAATTAGAGAAAAGTAAAAACCCTCAGCCATCAGATTCTCATTAATGAAGTGCCCTTGTCTGTATTTTTGGTAGTTTATACTGTTATGACAGTATAACTGTCAGGGTTCCTTGACTAGAAGAAATGTTTATGTGGTAACTCTGACTTTGTCAGAAGAAAAGTTGGGATGGGGAGGAAGACAGAAGAAGAGATGTCATGCAGTACTCTTCTAAGCATTACTTCATTTTGATTCTTTCATTCTCTTGCCAGGTGCTGGATTTGATGGAGTGGAAGAAATTAAACGTCATCCTTTCTTTGTTACTATAGACTGGAACGTAAGTGGAATTTTTTTATAATTTTTTTTCTTAGCTAAATTTTGTGAAGACAAACTGCCATGCTTAGGAAAAAAGGCATTCTCTAATGTAGAGAACCCAGGAGCTAGAGCCTATTCAGTGGGTGCCTGTATCTCTCTTGCATACATACTTGGCAGTGGTGGGTTTATAGTTGAACTCGCTGGTCTTAAAGGTTTTTTCCAATCTAAATGATTTTATGATTCTATATATATATGTTTGTTCACATACCCACAAATGAAAGGAATAGAAAGCTGCTTTCAGCATTGCCTTTTTTTCTAACTTCTTATCTCTGTTTTATCTGATAGTCTGTCTAATCATTATACTACCTGAGGCTATTTGCAGCATTCTGCAGAATAATTTCCACATTCAGCTCTAATAAACATGAGACTTCGATTTGGGAGCTGGATGGAGTGAAAATGAGTAGCTTTAAATGAAATAATTCCTGTATTAATCAGTTGTAAAAGAAAACAGAGGCAAAGGATTGGGCTTGAAAGAGATACTTCATAGGGAATCAATCTGATGCTCTAGGTCCCTCCATTGCTTTGCTTTTACATTCCCTATTGAACTACTTGTCCCTTCTCACTCAGTTGGGCATGCTGGACTAAAGGCTAGTTTTATTCCAATATCAGGGACCTTCAGGAATTCTTTTCTCTCTTGTAATTATTTAGAGCAGCCCCAGGTCTGCTTCTACATGCTTGCCAACAGTAGCTCCAAGACCTCCAGGCCCTCTCTTTTCCCAAACACAACATGGTGCTACTGGGACTTCCTGGGCGTCTACAGAGCTGGTACAACAGGCTGTACAGGAGGTTGTGCTGCTTTATGCTAAAAGAATCATAAATCTTCCAACAGGATAGCTTTGTTAACCCATTCTTATCACTTTGGCCTAAGCGACCGTAGGACAGTATCTGCCCCATCCACTAGGTTGCAGTGGGGGCCATAGAAAGCCCCCCAAATAGATAGATTTTCAAAAGTGGGATTTTACACCTCTGAGCATACAAGTCAACCAGCCAGAACTGGAAACGTCAGCTCCTCTTAAAAGTGTTTGATGTTTGATTGAGGTGAGCTATTATTTTAACATCAGCACTCAAAATTGGAACAGCAAACATTTGATCAAATGAAGCATGGTTCAAATAAGACATGTCAGAGGTGATTAACAGAATGGTAAACAAGGATTTCTTTTATTGCTATCAGCTACAGCTCATAAAGCTGGTGGTAGAGATTAGCTACATATTTGATTTAGACATGTAAGAGGTTAAATCTCATATTTTCAGCGTCCTATTTGTTCAAATCAATTTATTTTTAAACAAACCTGGAAGCAAACATTTTTCTTTCTTGCTCTGAACAACTACCAGTACATCAGAGCTCCTGTTTGCCACATCCTCTAGCATTTTCTAGTTTAATTTTACCCAACCTGTGTTATGGTTGTTATGTCTCTTCAGTATTTAATGTGTTAGCTCATAAATGCTAGTGTAACAGCTCACATTGATGCAGTTCTTAAGATAAATTCTGATAAAAACACATGAATGTGTTTGGCAGAGCTATTCTCAAACTGCTGCCCAGGACTTCCTGTGAAAGAACATTTTGTGGTGCCCAGGTAGCCTTTGAAAGGCCCACAAAATCATTTATTTTGGAAAAACTTATTAGAAAAACCCAGTTTGAGTAGCATGTTGAAGAGTTGGCATGACTCATAAGCATGTTAAAACATGATCAGTCAAAATGGAGTTTGAGACTTTCCTTTATGGTCCACCTGACTTTTAATCCCAGTACATATGTTCTGGAGTCTAGATTCTGTTTCCTCTTCTACTTCTTACTAATGATGAAATTCTGTATGATGACTACATTTATGGAAACAGTAAGTGAAAATAAAAAATAGGGAATTCAGAAGACTTGGGTTCTTTTTTTTTTTCTTTTTTTTTCTTTCCCCTCCCCCTCTAATCCTCCAATATCTCCACAGTCCTCAGCTTTGCAATCAAAGTACAGGTCAGATGAATATGTCTTGATGTAATAAGAAGCACTGGAGCAGTGAGAGGATTTTTCTTCTGTGTTTGCTAGTGGAGCAACTCATTAACTCATCACAGATAAATGAGGCTCTGCATCTTGGAAAGGTTTTCAGAAAAGTCAGTTTTGTCCCATGAGACTCCTCAAGACCACCTTCTGTCATGATAATTGGTGATTGTTTCAAGCTCAGTTCTTTAGGGAACAATTTCATGCCAGTTCCTGAGGAAACTCAACACTCCTCCATCATTTGAAACAGCTCTTATGGACAGGGAAATATCTACCACGAAGAAAACAGGTATGCTTGAACATGCCTTGGAGGTAGAGAGGAACATGGATTTAATTGCCCTTTGATGTCCTATCTAGCCCTCTAACTCTGCTGTAAAATGTAACTGTAAAGATCCATTCTAATCCAACACAGTTAGTGCTTCTTGCACTTTCTTTGAGACAGACAGATCATTATTACACAGATCAGCTATCATCTTTATAATATATTTCCTCATTTTATTCTATTTTTCCAGTCACTCATGGAGATCTTGGGAGACTTATCTCATTACAGCAGCTACAGTATTGTATATATTTCAGAGCAATGTGAGCCAGCCTGGCCCTGAGCTGAAGCCAGGACTTTGACTTAACAGTGATCATCCAACCAGCTGTTAACGTGTTCTCCATGGACAGAAAGGGAACAGGGTCAGAGAAGAGAGAACAGAAATGGATCAGACACAGATGTTTATGGCTGATCTCTATATGGTTGCAGGAAAAGTCCCTGATGCCCTCATTTTGTTCTCCTCTAAAGTATACAGAATCTCTCACATCAATTTGCAGGCAGTCAGCAAACAACGCTGTTGAGGCAGGACAGAAATGTTAATTTACTTTATGCCTTGGTAATATAAAGACCTCAGAGACAAAGAAGCAAGCTCTTTTGGAGAACTTCTGTACTACCTTGGCAGCTATGATAGGACTGCTGTGACTGACAGCACAGAAGATTTCAGCTTTTGATCCTCCATCAAAAACTCCCTTATCATGAAGGGTCAGAATGGGTTAGTTTCTGCTGGAAATGCAGTATGAAACAGGACTTTTTTTTAAGCATGATTTTTCCTGCAAAAGTGACGTGATAATCGGGAACAAACCGCCAAGTTGCATCATCTAATTTTAAGAAGAGATTCAAAACAGAAATGAGTTAGCTTATTCCTTCACACACAAGTTGTGTGTGAAGTCTAGATATTGCAGTGATGAAGTCAGTAGAATCACAGATGGAAACATATGACTCGGACCATCATTTCAGAGTATTGTCAGAGCTGTTCTCTTGGGGTTTGAATGTGTTTACCTGTTGGTGCAGTTATTTCCTATCTTTCACTGTCTTTAAACAGACACAACCAGATATAGTGTCTGGTTTGCATGAAGGCAGCGAACACAGTGGAAACAACATACACAGTGTAAAAATGGCCCCTGTTACCCTGCTGCAGATGCTGCTGCCAAGCACATCAGTGCTGATAGCGCATGACCACTCTGTGCAGAGGCAGTAAATATCATCCTGGAAAACATGACTGTGGCCAGAGAACAACCCTCCTCCTCCTGGCCTTTCGCAGATGTCATTCTCATGTTCCAGAGTGCCATTCTTCAGCAAAATCTCTAGTCACCCTAGGTTTAACTTCTGGTTAACTTCTGTACTAAATGAACTGTGGACAATCTGACACAGAGTTTTTATGCCTAGATTTAAATTTTGGCATGAGCTAATCTCTGTAAGAGTCTCATTTTTACAGCTGTTGTCACCCCATAATAAAGCCCTAAATTCCCACTTTACAGCGTGAAAAATAGACGAAGATTTCTGCAAATATCAGTCTTACTGCTCTGAGGCATTTAGTAGGCACTGTGATGCAAATTCAGTAAATCTGTTGTTAAATGAATGGACTGTCTTTTGTGATCAAGGCTGGGACTCTCAGGAAGGAGGCTAGATGCCCAGCTCCTTGGCAGTTTTACCTGCTTACTAACCTTGCACCCCCTTTTCTTCCTAAGAGAAGCAGACCCAAAACGACTTGACCTCAGATAGTTTCAACCACTGGCTCTGAGAAAGCACAGTCTGGTTCCTGTTTTTTTTAATTACTGTTTCTTCTTTCCAGGCCATGCATGATGCATTTCTGGTTTTTCATTGAAAATGAAAAATGAAATCCCTTTTTGGAGACTGCAGTTGAAGGAGTGGGCTATAAACAGTAGTTTTTGTTTGGATGACAGGCTAAATTGGAACCAGAGCAAATGACATGCTAGGAAATAAACTGTAAAATACAGCTGAGGAAAGGAATGAGAAGAAAGTGGAATCAAGTTCTTTTTCCTTCAATAGTAATCAGAGATCAAACTAAACTGAAAGCATGAATTAATTGCGGGTTTTACCAACTGCAAAAATTAACCCCAAGGTTTGAATTCTGCTATCTTTTCTGTTGTTTGCAGGCAATAACATTGAGCCATTAATCTAGGAGAGGACAAGCATTTTAGAATGTAGTTCATCCTTTAGTCTGCTCATTGGATTTTCCATGACAGGTATATGTAGCAAGGGAGTTTATTCTGACACTACAAGTGCATCACTGTGGAGGGTAGCATCTTTCTATTTCTAGAAGTTGTCTAAGGAATAATTCAATTCTTGATCAAAGAAACTCAATTGAGGAAATTACTAAATAGTTTTTAATTAAATTAAACCATTTTTCTTCTTCTTGATATTTACCAGGCACATGTAAAGCATTTACATCTCTTAATGGGTTTTTTTAGGAGTGCATTTTTTTAAAGATGATGAAAAATTAACTGCTCATCAATTAGAAGAAAAAAACACAAAATGTTGCAGCATTTTGTTACTAGACTAGGTGTATTATTTGAGTTCTGCCTGAGGAGGTGTTCAGATGAAGCTCATATTAGAGATCTGGCAACATATTTTAAGAAAAGGTCACTGAGACCCGGAGAAAAATTAGTTATTTCAAATAAAAATGTTTCTATATGAAATCAGAAAGGGAGTTGATAGAAGCTCATAGTTTCTCAAGCTCGTGTAGAACTGTTTTCTAGTTAATTCATAAGTATTATTAATCTGTAGGTACTGATTATCAAAGTCTCAGAAGGATGTGAGGGGTTGATAAGTAGACAGAAGCATGGATATGTATTCAGGTGTGAATATCTAAATCAGTACTTTCACACCTTGGAGTTCATCTCCCTTGTTATGTGGATTATACACTCCCTCAGCACAGCCTCTGGATCTGACAGCTCTGTATGATTCCTGATATCTGTCAGTCATATTTTTCTGTGCTAAGTCAATGCTGTGGCCAATTAAAAAAAGGGGGGATGGGATGTAGGACATTATTCTTTACTGGGAAAGAGAAAGAAGTCACATTCTCAAGAAAACATTAAGGGCTAAGGAATGCAATTCTCCTTTATGGATGTGTAAACAATGTGGAAGGAAAAAAAATCTTCAGCTTCTTATACTTGTGCAAAATAACACACATATAATGATCTTAAGCACCCAATCTGAAATTTAAATGCTCCAATTAGCACTTACATATCCAAAGTCTCTTTTGAATGCCTAATAAGATCCAAAACAATAATTTGGATATAAAAACTGGGATTTAAACTGAGAAAACTAGGACTCTGTTCCCATTTAAATGGATAACAGAATTCACAGTGACTTTTGCATACAGTACCAGTATCACCATGACTTGGAAAGTACATAATTGTTTAAACTTTAACAGAAGTTATGTGACAGCATGATAGAAATGGTTGAAGACAAGATTTGAAATTTAACTTGCTGTGTCATTTGCCACCCTGGTTGGTTTCTGCTGGAAGAGGTCAAGGTCAAGATACATCAGCCCTGAATAGTTTTGGGACCATGGTAAGGGATAGTAGGTTAATATGTTTCCTAAAATTAGAAATACTCTTGAGAAATCCAGAAGGATCTCAAATCCTCCGAACGATTTTTTCTCTGTATGTAGAAAACAATGGCTGTGATTCTTACTGTTTTCTTAGATCAGCTTGTTTCACATTGTGTTTTGCAGTCTACAGGATGCAGGTTTTTAAAGGAAGAGGCATTCTGCCTGCAGCAGGCCTTCGTGTTTAACTGTGTTGGGCTGCCTTGGTTTAGTGATTTGGCTTTGGTTGTTGTGGTTCACTCAGAGAACTGGAGCTAGTTTGGGATGGAGAAGGCCATAGATGACACTGCTCTGCTTTTCCTTGATGATGCCATTTAGTTACCCGATTCAAGAGCTTGGGGCAAAAAAGTTTTAGGCAGTTTACCTTTTACTGTTCCATTGTCTAGTCAGAAACGCCAGAAATAATTTCTATCACAAATGGAAAAGGAAATGGAAAAGGGAGTCATCTGGGTTGTGCTCAGAAGTGTCTTTCACTTGCACAAGCAACTTCTTTGTTTCCATCCCCTTCCAGAAAGCAACTTCGTGATTACACATCTTTAGATGGCGTGTGACTCATGAGAATCTTAAATCCCTCCCTAGTAGTGGAGGATATGAGTTAGGGATTCCAAATACAAATGTAGCTCCAACAGCACTTAAGAAACTACAGACGGGTGAAGGAATTAAGAGGCCAGAGAGAATATGGTTATGATAATAAAAGAGAATGCAGTTCCTGAACGATGCACAGCTCTAAAACACTTTCCAAGTTTTGGACCTCACAGGATAAGCGGTACAGTTAATTCAGGGAGGAAGCACATGAATGTGACCATATTGCTTTCTGCAGTAGAAGCACTGCAGTTGCGAATTAAGACAAATAAAGGGAAGCTGGAAGCAAATAGCTTTCTCAAGGTGAAATCCTAGCAGTAGAAAAGCCTTCAGTAGGTGCCGAGTTCTCTTTTAAAGTTCTGTGCAGACAAAAAAAGATGTATGTTAATTGCTATGTTGATATTTTTCAGCTGATGAGGGACACTTCCTGCTTAAGATTGAAATTGGCTTTTAATTATTTGGAAGACTGGCTTTCCATTGTGGCTCACAGCAGTTATTCTTCTCTTTTTCTCTCAGAAGATACGGAGCAGTTTTATCCGAGCGGAAACTTTTTATGGTGAAATGGCCATTAATTATTATATTCAGGCTCACTATTTCATTTTTCCAAGGAATTCAACCACAGACATATCCTTTCTGTTAAGGCTAATATTATGCTACAGAATTTCCTGCTTCAAGAACCTTTATTTATCAATGCAAAATCAAGTTCAAATTATGGTGATATGTGTATATCTTAGGTTTGACCACAAGCTTTATATTACAGAAGTTAATTTACCACAAAACCTACAGTTAAAAAGAATCATCCTGCATGCAAAGAGGTGGACAAGCATTTATTAATCTCATTAAATATTTTGAAAAATTAGCTCATTAGGAAGTTGTTTCGAGAGCTAACCTTAAAATGCATATTACAAACAGTCATAAAGTGAACTCTCCAGTTCTTATCATGACTTGAAAGTTTGGATGAAATGTTATATTTATGCTCAGACATGTTAATTATGGGGAACTGTCTGTGGTAACTGATTCAGCCCTTTGAAACCTGAGAACAAAAGCATTGCTAGAAAGGAAATGCAGTCTAGGGACTAAAACATGGGACAGGGAGTCAAACTGAAGCTCTGTTACCCATGCTGCCATCAACATAATATCTTGGCCATTTCAAGCAGAGATGATGCAAAAGGCTCTTTCCATCAACCTCTTGAGGCTTTGGATCAGATCCAGACATGCTGCACCTGAGTTTGTTCATCTCTCAAAATGTGTGTATGTGTGTGTGTGTAAATGCTTGCAAAGGAACATGGTGTAGCAATTTCTTAAAGAATGAATTTCTTAAAGCATGAATTAGGAGACCACGAAGTCCCTCATAATAAAGGCAGTGTATTAGGATGAATTTATGGTGCCTATTACTTAGGTGATACCCTGCATGACCCCTCAGTCACCCCCAGAAACTCACACACCTAGCAGTGCTTACCTTCCTCTCTTCTTTATGTTTTTCCTTGGTTTTGCTCCTCTGCTCAAGCCACATTAAACCTTCAGTGTGATTTCCCACCCATCCACTGTGCATCTTCCTAGCATATTTTGATGGGAATTTCATCTAATCCTCAGCTGTTAGTCCCCTTCCATTTTACCAGATATGCCAAAACAACAAGTCTCTTGTTTAGGTTGTAAGGACCAGGCAGCCAAGCCTGTTGCTCAGCTTAGTCTGGCAGCATGTCAAACATGTTGCTAGTTCTTCACAAATAGTAAATGCTAAAACGGTCACAGCTTCCCAGTGGTTCTTTGTGCTGATAGCCATTGCTGCGCCACTAAAGTCACCCTGTTTCTTGATGTTACCATTGCACATTCCAATCCTGTCCCTAGACCAGTGAATTTCCAGAGGCCCCAGCTGGAACACTGTGCCAGTCTATGGGCTAAATTTTCCTTAGAAACATTTGTGTTCATATTTCAGATTACAGTGGCTAAAAAGTGCAGGGACCATCCAGGGCACAGATTCTAAGCCAACCTGTCAAGCAGGAGCCAGATCCATGGATATGTCCTCCTTTTCTGTCAGTCCTGCAAGGATACCACAGAGCTGAGAGAGGACACCCTAAAGAAAGTGGGGGAGTCTATCTCCAGATACTGAAGTTGTACACATTGATGTTGATTGTGACCTGTTCTTCTCCTTGTAGAAACTGTACAGAAAAGAAATCAAGCCGCCTTTCAAGCCCGCAGTGGGACGGCCAGAAGACACCTTTCATTTTGATCCAGAGTTCACATCTCGAACCCCCACAGGTTAGTAAGGTGGCACATGGTAATATAACTTTTCAGTTAGTAAGTTCATTCTTCCTTTCACTTACTGTTTCAACGGGGTCTTAAAGTCAGATCACCTGTGGGGTTACAGGGTTTGGCAACATCCAGCAAGAAGCAAAGATTGCTTTGCATTTCCAAGAGAAGAAGCCCCATAAGCATTTCACCAGTTTCACATTAATTTGTCTCCAGGAAGCACAGATTTCACATTTTTAAAAGGAAAAGTAACTGTTGATTTGCTATTTTATTCCTCGCCATTGCTTACACTAGCTGAATTAAACTATTTTAAATTACCTCAGCTTCAAAGAACTTTGCATCTCTACAAGTCAGTATATAATTATATATTTCATAGATGTTTTATTTAATTATGAAGTCCCATAGACTATGAACTATTGGAAGTTAGTATGTGGTTAACAGCAATGAAGAATCATCAAGTTCTCAGATCAGCAGAGTTACGGTTATGCCAACAGGAAATTTGGCCCACAATATTTAGAAAGTGTTTGCAGTGAGAATGTTGTTCATGTAACTTCCATCTCCTAATAGGAATATCACACTTTGTGCACTATATGTGAAGGTGATTTGTAGCACTATACCTGATGAGAAACTTGTTTAAACATGTCTTAAAATGGCTCTTTGTGGTCCCTTTGCAAACACGTGTTTCTTCTTCCCAATACCCCCCACAGCAACTGTTATCTCCCATGCAGGAGTGTCCTGGGAAGATGTCCTGAGGCGTCCCATTGGTCCTTTGTTTAACCCTTTCCTATTGGCTGTTGACCCCTTACCTGATGGTTTCTTTTGTGTGACCCTGAACTCGTGATTGGTTCCCCTTTGACCCTCCTAAAAGCCTTATAAACCCCTTCCCAACAATAAACTCTCTCTTGCCTCCTCTCCACGCCCGGTGTGCTGTCTCTGTGCCCGCCATGGAGCCACGTGGGTGGTGGGGGGAGGGGAGGGCACCTCTCCCCTCCAGGCTCGGGGCCTGAAAAACCCTGTTTCTGGAGTCCCCCTTCCCCGTCCCACAAGACGTCGGAAATGGTTCTTCAGACGGAGAAGGAACTAGAGCTGGGCTCCCCCACGTCGAGGATGGGGAAAGGGAAACCCATATCTGGTGCCCACCGTGTGAGGAAACGAATCTTGCTGAACTCTTCTATGAAGATAGGTGGATTCCTAAAGCACAGATGCGATATCTGTGTTCCCCGGCGCCCCGAAGTCTCCCCCATCCCCCTCAATTCGCCGTAATTGGGCCACGTGGTGAGGCCACGATTGTTTGAACTCTTCTGTGAAGATAAAAGCAATCCTAAGCACAGGCTGGGGCGACGTCTGTGTCAACGGCGAACCGGGTCTAAGCGGTAAAAGATATTATCAGGCTTGCATCACCACAAGAGAGGAGCCTGATCTGAGTATCTTCAACCTTCCTGAGGACAGTCAGGTAAGGAGCAGGCCCGGCATATCCCCTTTTAAGGAAACTTCGGCATACTCCCTAAACCTCTCCCCCTGTAAACCTGTAACTACAAGAAGCGTGCATGCCTCTTTAAGAGAGAAAAAGCAAGCTTAAAGAACATATGTAATTCCATCTGCAAGTCATCTAATAAGACTGCTTGCTAACCTGAAAGATAGTTACCACGCCAGCATGGCGAAAAAAGGGTTAAAGCTGCTCGAAACAGCTCCGCAGCAATCCCCCTGCGCGGCCCCGCGCCGCCCGCCGTGCCGCTCGCGCCGCAGCCCCGACATCAGCTGCCTCTCCCCGCGCCGCCCGGCCCCAGGCCGGCCCGCCGCGCCGCGGCTCCGGGGAAGCCCCGACATCGGCCGGCCCCGCTCCTGCCTCGCTGCTGCAGCTCCCGCCGAGCCGCCCGGGGCGGACCCTGCCCCGCAACAGACCGGATCGGACACCTGCGGTGCCGCCGCCGCCCCGCCGAGACCCCGACGCTGCTGGCGGCCCCGGCCCCCGCCGATCCCGCCTGCACCGTGCTCCTGCTCCTGCACACGGCAACCCCCCGTCCCGCCATGCGGCCGCAGCAGCCACCGCCGCAGCCCCTCCGGACGCCGAGACTGCCTCCGAGAAACAGAAGAAAACAACCATTTGGACTCTAATGAAACTAAAATTAACAGCAATAAGTAGTTTGTTTGGTTCTGCAGTAAATTGAAAGTTTGTGCCAGTGAAAAACTTGTTTCATCAATAAAACCATTTTTAAATTCTGTTTTATAGGGACACCCTCAGACACTAAGAGAATGAGGTAAATTTAAAATCCATATATCAATAAAAGACATATTCATCTTTAGGGAATAAATAAGGTTGGGCTGTAGCACTATACCTGATGAGAAACTTGTTTAAACATGTCTTAAAATGGCTCTTTGTGGTCCCTTTGCAAACACGTGTTTCTTCTTCCCAACACCCCCCACAGCAACTGTTATCTCCCATGCAGGAGTGTCCTGGGAAAGGTGTCCTGAGGTGTCCCATTGGTCCTTTGTTTAAGCCATTCCTATTGGCTGTTGACCCTTTACCTGATGGTTTCTTTTGTGTGACCCTGAACTTGTGATTGGTTCCCCTTTGACCCTCCTAAAAGCTTTATAAACCCCTTCCCAACAATAAACTCTCTCTTGCCTCCTCTCCACGCCCGGTGTGCTGTCTCTGTGCCTGCCATGGAGCCACGTGGGTGGTGGGGGGAGGGGAGGGCACCTCTCCCCTCCAGGCTCGGGGCCTGAAAAACCCTGTTTCTGGAGTTCCCCTTCCCCGTCCCACAAGACGTCGGAAATGGTTCCTCAGGCGGAGAAGGAACTAGAGCTGGGCTCCCCCACGTCGATGGATGGGGAAAGGGAAACCCATAGTGATTGTTGCACAAAACTCCATCTTTCCACTCTTTTAGTGGAAAGCAAGAATACCGGTAATGTCAGAGTGGTAATCCCACTTATATTTCCTCTTGCTAGATATGGATAAGTTACATTACATTTCCGTCTGTGATATTCCTGTGTAAAGAAGTATTTATTTATACATTCTAAAATATAACAATTTAATTAGCTGTTGTTTGTAAAACACTTTGAAGATGGTAAGAACTGTAAATATCACATAGCATTGTTGTAATAACCAAGTATAAGGTCTCAAGCTCCAACCTTCAAGTTGCCCCAGAACTGTTGCAGTGAGAGTGAAAGACCATTACAAAAACAGCTACATTATAGCACATAAATCACAGCTGAGATTTCCTGTCGTTTTTGTTCAAGCTGATCATGACCTACACCATTTTTTTCTTAAAACTAGCCCTAATGTCTATTCTAGGCCTGACCCAAACTTCCTTTCATGGAGTTTGAAATAACGGTATCTACTCTAAATCTTTTATCAATTGTTTCCTAGTTTTTTTCTGGCAAGGACATGCTGCCTTATGCAAACTCTAAAAATATTACACTCTGGTTTATATGTGTCCAACTGGAACATCCACCTGTCTCCAGTATATGTTGGTCGTGTTCTGATGTTCCTATCCCACTGCATGGAAGCAAATGATATTTGGATACTAGACATTTCCATCCTCTGATTTTAGTTTTCATTTAGATTTCAGAGGAACTAATTTCTCTGAAATATTGGAGACTGCAAATCAGTCTGATCTGGAGAGAAGTGCAGTCTCTGGTGCTGCTTTGGGAAGCCTCACTGACTTGCAGAGAAGCATTAAGAATTTGGATTGCTTTGGTAGTTCACACTTCATTGTTTGTACTGATGCCTGGGGCTATATTTTACACTCTGCATGTTACTACTGTTGCTTAATTCAGTTTGATATGTCGTACAGATTCTGACATGGAAGTTTGGTCTTGAGGCAGTGGCTGGGGTGGGCAGATGACCTCACTCAGTTCTGCTTTGGGCTACTGTGGAAAGTGGCCTGAGAATCAAACCATGTCATTTCAAAATAGGTGTAATTGAAAGTGTGAATGCCTTTACACTTCTAGAATGATGGAAAAGCCCTTGCAAACTGGCAGGATATTTTGCAGACCCTGACTGTTGACTGGTTGGGTCAACCAGAAGAGGTAAAGAATCACAGAAGTGTGTAATACTGGCTCATATTGCCAGTGGAATAGAACAGGAACCCTTTTTATTTTGTGTTTTTTCTATCCTGACATAGACCCCAAACAAATAAACCGTGTTACTGAGATACCCAGATGGAAAGCACTGTCGTAATTCCTGCTTCATGATCATGCAGTTGTGTTTTAATGAAGCTGTCAGAAAGGTACTACCAAGGAGGGGGTACAGATACATATTGCACTCTGTCTTAAAGAATGAGTTCTCCTGCCTGAAAGCAAGTTTATGTCAAAGTTTTGGATCCAGTAACTTGCCAGCCCAGTGATTTTCTGTACCTCAGAAAGTTTATTTGCCCTTGAGATTGAAACAGCTTTCTCTGGATTTTTAACCTCAGATCAAAGTGTGCCAAAGATGTGGTTTCTGACACTGAAAGTTCATCTCTATGGGTATAGTTTCACATCACTTTTTTTCAGAGATTTTTCCAAGTCGAAGTTGCTTTTTCTGGCCACTAACTTCCTGAATTCACCACTGTGAACCCACATCTCATTTGTGGTGACTCACCTCCTCAGGGAGCAGAAGACTGAAGAAATCTAGGTTAGAAATAATGATTTGAACCAAGATCATTTTTGTGATCCAACTTAGATTTCAGTCCACAAATGCTTGTACTGTTGTAATTGATGGGCCAGCATGCTGTAACTGGCAGGGATATTTTAGGCTGGCTTTACTGCTGAGAAAAAGATAAGTAAAATTGCACCTGAAGTATCTAAATATCCTCCTCTGTAAATAAGATAATAATGTTTGTTAACCCCAGTGAAGCATGATGAAGGAAATTACTTAAGATTTATGAAGCCTTTGAAAACCCTTACACTTAGATGCTCAAGTGGAACAAAGCATTGTGACTTTCACAGGGAGAAAGATAACCATTATACAAGATTTAGCTCTTCAACTTTGTCATCGTAAATCACATGTCGCACTGGAGGAAATGTGAAGGGAAGTGAAGATAAAAAAACAACTCCCCCAAAAAAACAAAGAAAGGTCAGCAAATTTTAGTACCGTAGGTTTTATAATACCCAGTCAGTTAGCAAGGAATGGTTTCCAAAGTGACTCTTCTTGCTTATGAAAATACCTGGGATAAAACATATACTGGGCAGAAAGATCTCTTTAAAACTTTTCAGAATTTTAAGTGAAGCACGGCTCTTCTCTTCTTGCTTTGTCATGCTGTTTCCTTCACTGTGGAGTGGTGTAGGTACTAGGAACTGCTCTCTGGTTATTCCATTCCAAAGGTAGAATAATTCAGGTTTTTCTGAACTCCAGCCATTCCTCCCCTGGTTTTGCCATGTCAGGGGAAGGGATGGGAAGAAAATCTCCATGACTCTTAGTTAAAACAATCCTAGTTGTTTTGTTCACCTGAGGACAAGTCAACCAGTGTCTTCCCTGGAGTAGGTCCCAGCTCCTAAATCTGTTCCCTATAAGAAGATCCCTATAAGGCCACAAACCACCACTACTATAGTATTGTGCTTTAACACTTCCTTGTGTCTTCTCTACATTCTCCTAACTCACACAACATGCTACTAGCTTTTGTAATGTCTGTAGTCAAGTTGTGCTGCAGAGGACAGATATAGCAGCCTGCAGCTTTTTTCTGCCCCCTGGAGAACCTCTACTAAGTCAAAAGATGCCCTGGCTTGAGTCTTCTGTCTCTCTCTCCTAGCCTCACTGCCTTGTATCTTTTCTGTATGTGTGGACTCTTGGCAGTACTTTGCATAAGAATGAACGTGCACTTTGAAAAAAAAGTCTGTATCCAAGAGGAAAAATCCTTGCAAACAATATTCCTGCATTGTTCAAATCCAGAGGAAAGGAATGGAGAAGGCACAGCAAAGCCTTGATATGGAGGTGAATTATATTCACATGTAATTACCAGTTTGTCAGGATCTACTACTGACTGGTGGGTGCGGTGCTATTTCTGCTGTTCCTTCATGCAGCTCATGAGGCCATTTTCTTCCTTCTCCGACAGATTCCCCGGGTGTTCCTCCAAGTGCCAATGCTCATCATCTTTTCAGAGGGTTCAGCTTTGTTGCCTCCAACTTGGTGCAGGAGCCTGCACAGCAAGATGTGCACAAAATCACTGTTCACCCAATTGTGCAGGTACTGATGCTGACATTACACTTCACATCTGATGGGCAGATACATATGTGTGTAGTGTATTTAAACGGACTCAACATTATCACTGGTATTTCACAGATATCTAGTGTAGGTAGGAAGTGTTTACATGCAGTGTGTAGGGGGTGGAAAATCAGAATTTTTCCCCAATGGCTTTTATTCATAAGTTCACGTTCCCCACAACCTTTGCAAAGAAAATAAGAACTGCACTTTATCACAACTTAAATGAAAAGTACTTCTGAATACCGAAAATATTATTCCAGTTATGCACGCAGGGCAAGTATAATGAAGTGTTGTTTTTTCACTGAATGCATGTCATTCTCAACAGTTTTGTCTTGGATTATATGACGCTGTATTGGCAAAGGGGTTTAATGAACTGCTGCTGTAGGTTCCCACAGACACAAGCTCCTGGGTGTAAGAGGCTACCATACTCCTGTTGCTATTTCACAAAAAGCTGGGTGTACTCACCTAAAGCAGGGTGGCTTGATGGGGGAAAGACTTGCCAGATGCTTGGTGCTTTGCTGCCATTCCCATACAACATGCTGTACAGTTGTTGTAATTTAAATGAGAAATAAATTGCTACAAAAGGCTCAATGCATCAGATGGTAAGTGAATAGGGAAAAGAACTGTGCTGCTTAAATATGCATCAAATTTTCTCACTGGGAAAAAGTTTCTCTCCTACCCACAACCAGAGGTGTACACGCCTCAAGGGGAGAGCCCTGTCTGTGATTTTCATCGCTATTTTAATAATTTACAGCGGACTATGTTATATTCTTAAAGATGCTATTATGCAACAGTAAGTGAAATGTTAACCAAGCAATTACATACCAGAAATGTTATACATATTCCTGTGATTTGCTTTGTAAAAATTTATTGAATGTTAACATACGCATGTCTTATAATGTAGCAGGTTCTGTGCGGACTTTGCTAGCAAGGTTACATATTTAGACAGAGTATTATAGGGGATTTTTAGAGCTGCTGGTCATCCAGTCCTGGGATGGAATTTGCAGCAAAGCCTTAGATTTGGGTTTCACCATTTAACCAATCCACCTGCCCAGACATTTTCCAAAGGGCATATAAATTAATAGCTTAAAATCATAACCTCTCACACAAAATCCATAATTAAACATATTCTGGAAAAGACCTCTCATTGTCTGGAGGCACCCCCCATATGTGGGGTATCTCTTTTGAAGACTATGAAGCCACTAGTATCTTATTAGTCCTCTGCCCTCAGTAGTTAGAAATAAGTTTATATTATCAAGACGTGGGTTTTTCAGGAGATTTGGGCCCACAGTTTCCTTTGAATTTCTAATAGATGTTGATTTTCTGCATTCCACTGCAGTTTTACCATTACTCCTACATGGACAACTCCATCTTGTAGACTATGAAAAGGTAAAAAGGGAGCTCTTACTTGTTTAAGTAAAGAGCTTCAGAATTTTTTAACTGGACTTAGAAAAACTGCTAAGGACAAGAGATATCTGTAAAGGAGATGAGAGCAAGCATCTCCTTTAAGAGGAGGCTAATCCTTACTTTTACATACTCATGTTCTGATTACCTTGTTTCTTTTGTCTTTCCCTGTAGCAGTTACATGGGAACAACATTCACTTTACAGATGGATACGAGATCAAGGAAGACATAGGAATTGGCTCCTATTCAGTGTGCAAGAGATGTGTTCATAAAGCTACAGAAACAGAGTTTGCAGTGAAGGTAAGAAAACCTCTGGTAGATGCCAGAAATTGGCTGAGACTGCTCTGCCAGCCTGGGCACCAGTGTAGTCAGTGGATTTTTGTTGGCTGATTTCTTGTTGGCAGGTGTTGCTTCATTTTTTTTCTCTTTTGTAAGACAATAGGGTTTGTGTTAAACTTATATTATTTCTCACACTTCAATCTCATCAAGTAAAATTCCTGGATGGAAAAAAACTTTGCAGTCTTGCATGGTTAATCACTGTTAATCACTTCAGCCATGGTCCTTGCAAACTGGGTAAGACTTTCAACAGCTCCTACATTACATCATTGTAAATAAACAAAATAACATGTAAAACTATTACAAAATTGAAATATCATGTATTCTACTTTCTCAAGTTGTTTAGATCTGGCATTTTTTATTGTAATTAGACAGTGAAAACCATGATCACCTACAGAAACTCAGATTTCTTTTTGTCTGCTTGACATTCAAACCCAACATTTTATCCAAAGGAGCAAAAGTCAGACTTCTGCAGAGATTTAAAATATTGATTTAGTTGGATGTTAAAGACAAGTCAGAGTTTTAAACATGCTATTTTCTTTAAGAAAATGTGTAGCAATTAAAACATTCATGTTAGAAAAGTATTTAATGTTTTTGTTCTTATACCAAAACGGCACAAGTTTAGATTAAATGAGGAATTATTATAATGATTTTGAAAAGACAGGGACAGTTAAGTCAGATCCTTTCATTCTGTATTATCTCTTGGGAACAGGTTACAGTACATAGAGAAATGTCTTTACCAAACATGCAGTAAATAAGAGGATCTGGCTAATTGCCTCTCTACTTTTCTCATTTTAAAATTTTAGAAAAGATATGTAAACTTTACTAATAAATATGATTGTGTCTGCTATTAAATAAGATGATTTTAAAATTTTAGAAAAGATACATAAACTTTACTAATAAATAAGATTGTGTCTGCTATTAAATAAGATGATGAGAGCTTAGGGAAGTGATCCAAACTGCAATTCATGAGATTAATGAACTCCAGGTAGTAAATAGAATAATATTAAACATTTTATTCAGTCTTATTTTCCATTACTGGACTGATGACAATGCAGTAGCCATGAAAATCCATTAAACTTTTGGTGTTTCCCCATGGTGGCCACAAAAATCTGTAAACCTGAAATGACAATCTGTTGATGCCACTGTTCAGATAATAGTTGATTTTTCTAGGCTACACCATAATTAGGAGCACGGACCTACCAGCAGGTCTGTGGGCTTGCATGTGATTGTGCTAATATTTTCATTTCATATTAATGGAAAATTTAGAGTTTTCCAGGGTCCAGGTTATTTGTCAACAGATGGCATTATGTTGTAGTAGGTATAGTAGTATTAATTCTGTATAATTACATTGCATCTGTGGTGAGCAAAATGTATGCTAAATTAAAGTAATAACTTTACTATTTTATTTATGTCAAGTATTGCTGATAGTTTTATCAGTGTAAATACAGCCAGTGAGAAACCAAAACAGAAGAACCTCAGTACTCAAAGATATCTGTGCCTGAATCTGAACTACCTGAACACCAGTGGGTGTTTAGAGAACTTCAGAGGATCCAGAGCAAACTCAACACATGTAGACACTCAAAACTGCAGAAAAGTTCAACACTATAATTGCTAGGTTTATGGTCTTTCCCATTTTTAATAATATTTCCTCTTTTTATTCCTTTCTTCCTCCACTCATGATGATTCTCTTCTTGTCACGTCAGTATGTCTTGATTTTGACTGCCAGTGTAGGCAACACATGCAGCACCTCAGTTTCTGTCACAGTGTGAGTCAAATGTGTAGCAGATTTGAGGTTGGAGACACTTGGGTTTCTGTTTGTACTGTCTTTCAAGCACATTTAGTGCTGCCTCTTTAATTATTACTCCTACCAATATATTAATTTTACTTTTCTTTCAGTGTTATTTTAATTTCATAATAAGATTATATCATTTTGTTATCAGGGTAGCTCACTTTCAAAAAAATTGCACAATGCCACTCATTTCCAGTAATTGGATAGTACAGAAATTGCAACTGATATTATCATAATTATATATCAGTCCCTTTTGACATGCATTCTTTAACTGTCTCTATAAAAATCACTGTAATTAGGCTCTTTTGATTTCTGTCACTAAGTATAATTTTCTCAGTGCTCTCTAGTACATAGCATTCACAGGAAAAAGTATCTGCAGTGATTGTGTGATAGGCAGTAGCCCCACTTGCCTTGCACCACCTCATTAAAAGCTCCTTCTTTCAGATGAACTGACAACACATCAGAGAACATCATCCTGTCTCCCCAGGGGAAGCTGGTGATAGGAAAAAAGTTAAGGAAATTATGTAGTGGCATCACTGCAGGAAGACACACATCATGTCACTGTGTAAATAAATAATCCTTCCATGGAGACTGCCACTCACCTTGTTTACTATTGCTGTGTGGTGCCATACTGAGGAGGCAGAGTACCTAGCCAGAGTAACTTGAGTCAGAGCTACAGTCAGAAAATCCACTCAGGAAAATGAAACTTTTCCTAGGCCAGAAGCAGAATATATTTATTAAACTGCAAAACATTTCAGCCCTTTTCCTTTTGCTGGCCAGCCGCTACTAATTGGGGGATATCTTGTAGAGATACTTAGGTGTCTAGCAGTGCAAAGAAGTTCTTTGCTGGTGTTGTAAAAGCACTTGAACAGATCTGGAATTTCACTCGTTTAAGAGTTCATTTTGATTAGACACATCACTCACTGCGATGCTTTTGGAATTTCCCCTAGACACCTCTCTGCACCTATAGGCAGCTGTGCTTCCTATGTAAATCCAATCATTGAGCCTGCAGAAGAAGAGAGTTTTCCTGCAACCTATTCCCTCTTCTTCCATGCCATCTGTAAAAAATGAAATGCTAATAATAAACTCTAAACCTGTTTTAGACATGCCCTTGGGTTCCTAACTGCAGTGTTTCAAAATTCAGACACTGAATTTTACACTGAATTACATCTCCATTTCTGAGAGCATTTCAACACCATGCAACAGAAAACTGTGTAGACAGCCAAATTTCCTGCAAACTGAGTCTACCCTGAAACTAGTAGCCACCTACCTGGTCAGTGCAGGTAGGTGTTGGTTTAGCAAGTCTGTGTATCATATTCTACTGCTCTGAGGGTTTCTTTCCATCTCATTCCCAAGTGAAAAAGTATAAAGTTATGAAATACAAGTACATATATTGTTCATTCTTCTGAATCACAATATATTCTGAGTTGGATGCTGGTAGAAAGAAGAGATATGGGGAAAAAAAGAGTTTCTCCTTTGATGGACCTCTAATGTGTTTCAGATTCTTCTGCTATAATATTGATCATTCTGACTGAAAAAGGCCTAATGATTTTTAATAGGAAAGGGAATATTAATAGTTACAAGCTTCACATGGGTGTAAATGTAACAGTGAGGTCAGAAGCAAAGCAAAATCAGATCAAACTACTTCAGCCACATCAGTATCTAGAGAAAATAAGTCAATTAAGTAAAAGAATGATGCTAGAGGAGATGAGAGGGGTTTCTGTGGGTGGAACAAAGTTTGCAATGGAAGCCTAAACAGATTAAGAGCTCTCATTTGGAGTTCAGAGTTCTTGGTGAATCAGATTTTTCAAAACCTGCCAGAGATTTGATGCAATTAGCATATTCCAGATGTTTTTCTTTACTTAAAACCATTGCACAGCTTTCAAGCTTGGAGCACTAGTGAAACTTTCAAGCTGAATTTTTAGATGTGCTTCTTACTGATGCCAGATTAAGTAAAGTTGAAAAGGACTTGATTGCATCTTCCTTTTTCTAAGGATTTATCTATTTAGATTGACTCCTTACCCCCAGGAGGGATTACTGGTGGATAATAGCCAAGTAGAAACTGCTCCTGCTATGGACTTTTCTGCCCCCAAAACAGTAACTGCCCCAGCCCAGACACTGCAGAGGTGGGTGGTTTAAGTGCCAGATTCAACACCTTGATGTCAACCATCTTCTTCTCCAGGTCACGAGAATGTCTAACCGATTAAGTCTTGTGGATTTTTAGTCCCTCCATGCTGCTAAAGCCGGGGCGAACAACTAGGTAAAAGCACAGGGTATGCATTTTTCCCTCCTTTGAAGAAGAAAAACATAGATATAGTCCCTATTGACAAGTCCAATTTTGCAGATGCCAACATTACAGTGGAATTTGGATGTCAAAACAAATGTGAATTTCATGACTTTTTCCTATCTATGTAATGTACTAACCAGCTGTTAGGCTCCAAATGTTCCAGAGTTGTGAGCAAAGCCAAAGTTTGCAGTCAATGTCTGCCACTGGGGTACACTGGGTATGCTAGAGTCCTAGTAAGTCCTACAGTTCATATATAATTCTGGTAATTACCAAGCACTGAAAGCACATCTATCTAGCATGTTTTGTATAGGCAGACTGGAGAGATGGTACATTTTAATTAGCTACAAAAATACAATACTGGTGGAGAAGTGATGTTAAAATGCTACCAATAAATAGAAATCAGTACCTTATGAGAGCTGGTTTTAGTAGGCCTGTGCAATCAAACTTGTTGTATACCTCTATTTATTTGCTAATAACAGTGAGTGACGTAGTCAGCAAAACTCATATAAATTCCAGAGTTGTTTCATAATTTCTTTGAACTTTATTTTCCTCTTCCATTGATGTTTCACAGTTATGGTTTGGTTGTTTCTAGGTGGTTAGCCTAAGTAGATAAAATTGCACGGTAACGTGAAGACAGGAGCTTTAGTGGCTCTACAACATTTTCGCCTTATCAAATTATCTATGAAGAGCATGTCTTTTGCCTCTGAACATCATACCAATGATTCTGAAAGATACTTTCCAATATTTTTTGAGAAAATATCTCTGACTGCAGTCTCTCCAAAAAGTTTGATTCCTATTTTATTTCCTGAATGATATGTAATGTAGCTGTTCAGTGTACTCAATAATTCATAGGATGGAAATACAAATATTTGAATACCAGCATCA